ACAAACTATTCACACCGTCCAACGGGGCCGAAAGCAGTAGGGTTGTTGAACTGCTCTTCAGGTCGTTGCCTTCCAACGCTGGGTAGGCCGTATGCAAGCGAACCAATTTAAAGCACAAAACGATTGGCAATATGGTGTCCAACAAGCACTTCCCGCGGCACAATCCTGGTCACGGCACCAATGTTCGGACCCTTAAAACTGCAATTTGGACACCGGTTTTGCGCCACACTTCCGTTTCGGACCCTGTTCCAAATTCCACTTATGACCGTGATTTTGTCGTGAAGGTTAACGAAGAAAACTCGCGATTCCGTGCAGAAAAGAAAACGATTTTATTACGTAAAAAAAGAAGCAAAAAGAGCCATACTCAAGAACTGAAAGAATAGTCGTTTTATATAGTTTAATGAGGTCTTCCGGGTGAGCACCCCACCATGTCCCGGAAATTGATCGTAGAAAGTTGATCCTTTGTTGACACTTTTGTTTCAAATACGTAATATGGGTACCCCAAGTGCATTTTGAATCAAACCAGACTCCAAGGTATTTGAAGGTTAAAGATTGGGTAATGTCTCTGCCCAAAAGATTTAGACGCAGTTGGGCTGGAAACCGCTTCCTTGTAAACACTACCAATTCAGTTTTTTGCGGTGAAAACTCGATCCCTAAATTTTTTGCCCAGAGAGACAGATTATTTAGGGAATTTTGCAAAAAACTTATCATACGTGTCCCTATGAGCATTGTTCGGAGGAAAGTATACCGAAGTAAAGACATGAGTTTCATCTGCTACTTGCGCTTTTACCCATACATGTTCGAATTCTTTAAATTTAGTAGCCATAATGATTTTTGAATTCAATTTGGTCGAAATAGCTATTAATACTCCACCTCCCGATTTTTTTCCAGACCATTGAAAATTGCGGTCGTCTCTATAAACGTTATAATTGTTACCAAAAACTTCTTCACTTCTCACACTATCATCCCAACTTGTTTCATTAGCCATTATGACAGAGTAAGTAGAACTTAATATATTTTTGTTAATTTCATTCATTTTACCGGCGCTTCTCATGCGGTTAACATTTTGGCAATATACCAAAATTTCTGTACTGGTCTGAAGATTAGGTGAAGAAGTTGATGGTAACCTGGCATTCATAAAACTATTATCAAAATTATTTACCCCTGATCCATGTTCCGAATTTGTTTCGTTCTGCAAAGTGTCGTGATCTTCGTTATTTTCTTCCTCTATGGAGCGTGTCAGTTTTGTAGAAAAAACGAGTGCCTCTCCTTGATGTAGAGAAGTCGTCAAGTCCTGGATAATGTCGGGGTCTGCCGGATCATTGTCTTCCTCCAAGGGGTGCGTCAATTTCGTACAAAACACGAATTCCTGCATACACACGCCTCGCATGATGCAGTTGCAGCCATCCCGTTATGCAAGTGCACTGGAACGGTACGTGGGTATACATCGCACGCCGGGTAGGGGTTTAAGATTTCCCCTCGTTGGAATTTCATTGTGGGTCGATAGTTAGCCTGTGGCGGTCTGGAAAACCGATCTTTTGCTGCCGCAAGAAGCTCTCGATCAGGTGGCAGTAAGTTGGTAAGTTGTTTCTATTCTGACTAACACTGCTGTGGAAACTGTTACGGTTAGTGTTGTTGTTTCGATAATTGTTAGATATGTTATTGTTGTTGTTGTTGCCAAAATTGTTGTTGTTGTTGTTGTGGTTGATGTTATGTTTGCTGTTATTGTTGTTGTTGTTGTTGTTGTTGTTGTTGTTGTTGTTGTTGTTGTTGTTGTTGTTGTTGTTGTTGTTGTTGTTGTTGTTGTTGTTGTTGTTATTGTTATTGTTGTTGTTGTTGTTGTTGTTGTTGTTGTTGTTGTTGTTGTTGTTGTTGTTGTTGTTGTTGTTGTTGTTGTTGTTGTTGTTTTTGTTGTTGTGGTTGTTGTTGGCGTGATTGGTGTTGCAGTTGTAGTCGTCGTTGTTTCTGTTGTAGTTGTTGTTGTTGATTTTGTTGTTGTTGTTGTTTCTTCTATGATTGTGTGAGTTGTTGTTTTTGTTGAAAAATTTTTGGTAGGCCCTTTTCTGCTTTCTCCGCTTACTAGCCTTTGCAGCCAATTTTTCCTGGCTCAGATGTAGCGATTTTCGAGCATCGTACTCCGTCCAATCAGCTTTCCCCACCTTCCTGTCGCCCAAAACCCTCCAACCGGAGTCGGCGGCATCATTTCGGTAGTTATTGTTGTTCAATTCGCCCATTAGGCTGGGCGGGGACGGCAAACGTGCGTCCATAGTATTAATTACAGAGGCAAGGCATTTAATTTCATTCTAAATGTCCCCACCAACTGCGTCGGCAAGACATTGCTCTCCAGTCAACACATTTGAAGTAGAACACCGTTCAGTGCATTGCGCAGCCATGTCCATGGTTAGACTGCTCAAATTTGTCACTTCATCACATATTTTCGTCAGCTCACGTGACAAATCCCCCGTAAGATCACGAACGTAGTCCTCGATGCGGTTTCTCGTCGTCTCCATGGATATATTGAATAATGAGGTCAGGTGGTTTTTAATGCCAGCGACCTCATCGGATTTGTTTAAAGCGCTGACTTCAAGACCGCGCGACAATGTCGACACCGCATTTTTTACTTTCGACGTTGTGTTGTTATTTACATTTGACACCGATTCTATTAAGGTGGACAGTGAACTTTCCAGGACTGCGATCGCTTCGAGAATTGAATCAGATTTTTCGTTCTGGCTTGCAAGTCGATGCAAAACTTGCGTGTTGGTATCCAGTTGTTTTTCAAAAGCCTTATGCTGATCAATTAGCAATCTAAGATCAAATTCCAACGTGACGAGCACTTGGCAAGAACTGCAGCACGGTAGCACGTAAGATTGCACATCAATCTTTTTGTCCCTTTTCCGTAGAGAACCACGTTGAACTGAGACTCCCACGCAGGAGGCATGAAATGAGCGCGCACACCTGATGCAGCTCCACAATTCCGTATCGACGGTAGTTTCCAGTGAACAAATTTCGCAGCTCATTTTGTCAAAAATAACACACAAGAATAAAAAAACGAAGAGCACGCAAAAAAAAGAATATGCTATACCACGAAAACGCACGTGGCTACGAGCAAATTGAAAACGCGTTCGCACTGAATGACAACTAATAACAGAAGTCATAGATCATACCTAGGGTAGGTGTTCCAGTTATTGGTAGACGTTCCTTTTATGGTGTTTTAAAATTATAGTCTATAGGATATACATATGTTTTTCATGTTTTGAACCCTTTTTAATTTGATCCATAAACCTAGAAAAATTGCTACATAACTGCGTAGCTGCGCAGGTTTACTGTTCTGACCGTGTTTTTTTTTTGTCAGAAGAGCGAAACGATGGGCGAGCGTCTAGGATAAGTTAGAAGAATTTCCTAAATGAAGCTTCCATAGGAAACTTCTTCAGAATCTTCTTTTGGAAGCTAATTCTAGACGCTTGCCCGTCGCTTCGCACCTCTACCTAAAATTCACGGGCAGGGCATTAAATCTAAGTAGATATGCAGTGAAGTAATTTTTCAAGGTTTATGGATCAAAATTTAAAAAAAAATAGTGTCCTAAACAAGAATAATATATGTTTAATTTATGGATCATGCCTATATTTTTAAGTGCGCAAACTTGATTTTTTATGGATCACTTTGTTTAGTTTAAGGTTCATTGCTGAATGTTTCATGGATTGCAATATGTTTATGGTTAATTCGTACAATTTCAATGCTCATTCTATAGAAATTTAGCGGTACATTTTTACAATTGTATTGCCAAATTTTACATAAAATATTGAAAGTATTGATATTTTCTATGAATCATCCACACTTTTTTAGGGATTTTCTCCGATGTTTTATTATATTTTATGGATCGTTTTATAAACTCTTAAGGTGCATACGTAGAAAATGGCTTGCTCTTCGGCGAAATGACCTTCAGCTAAACGTCGTTCGGCAAAACGTCCTTTGGCGAAATGCCTCGCTCCCGGCAGAACTAACATCCCGTAACGTACCACGAAAAGGTGATCTACCCACGCTACGGGGCTTTGCCATAGCAACCACATGTTCGTTTTTCAGCATCTAGACTACTAGAACCAAAGTTAGAGCGATATAAGTGAAATTTTAAATTCTTCCATAGTAATTCCCATACAAATTACAAACCATGTGCGCGACCTCTAAACCTTCATCAATCTTTACTATTTTTAGCTCCGACTCATGTTTTGGGATTATGAATCAAACTGGCGGGTGGCCTATATGAAATCTAACACACCCTATTCTACATATTTGGAACGTTTCAAAACATTACCCTTCGGGGAAGGACCTCGCCATAAATGCTCAATGCCCCAAAGGTCATGGGTGCAAATTTAATCGTGCGAAAACACTCAACATTAAGTTAAAGTTTGTAGTCAGCTCTTCCAGATAATTTTTGAAAGGAAAGGCAATTCAGCCAAAATGTAAATGTGACGCATTGATACAAATTTGAAATTGCCTCTACCTTTTTCAACGTCTTTTTAAAAATCTACAAGCAATTCTGCATTTACCCCAAAAATATGCAAATCTAATCCGGATCAGCACTTTTTGCTAGCTGAATCCTTGGTTTTAACTATTTCCATCCCTTGCTTTCTGACTCCAAATACCAAAGAGCAGCATCTGACAAAAAAATTAGGCGATATCAAACATGGGACTTTCTCATCTACGCAACACCCTCGTCCTAAGCCAGAAAAAAAAAAACAAATAAGAATGTGTCCCCAAAAATCCAATAAGCAGCCTTAGGATCAAGCCCCGTTATCTCTCGCTCGATGCCACTCGTAGCTATCACAGGCATCTTTTCATTTCCCTACCGAAATCACATCGGAGGAGCCGTTCGTGCTCTGGTGGTCAGACATTCATTCAGAAAAAAACACGCAGGCACCGCATCAACAATCAAGATTATGGTGTACCCCCCCCCCCTCCCCCCACACCCTTCCTAATCTACGTTAGCGTGTCACTCAACTCACCTGTTCGATTCTCGTCTGCCTGCCCCCGGGGGGTTTAGATCCGTGCGGTTGTCAGTGTGTGATGTTTAATCTCCTTTTCGGATTTTATCAATTTGATCTGCGGAGATTCGGTGCCTTCATAACGAAAATTTGCCGTCCCTTGTTGACTGGTGCTGCTTCTGATTCTCGTGGCGATTGGGGACGATGGCTAGTGGAACTGAGGAAGGTCGGCGTGATTTCACAAAGAACATTTTTCTTAGGTATTTCTTTGTATCATATACTTGATTTTTCTTTTCTTTTTATTTTTGCTATGGGATCAGGGGGGTGGTAAGCCTATTGTTCACACTACACACTTCCGTTGACGGTGGTTTGGTGGGTGGGTGATAGGCTTTTTATCGTGCACCTTGCCGACATCGTTACTCTCGTACAGCACACAGGTAATTTAATTGCCGAAAACCATGGATGACTGGATGGTGGTGGAGCGATGCGATTACCCTCAGGCTACTAGGATTACGATGTGAGTCATGAGCGAGAGCGGCTCCCCGGCGCATACACACACACACACATACGAGAATCGCATCTATTTTTGCACTTTTACCCAACGCACCTCTGCACCGACACCGTTGCCGTCGACGTCACACGTCTGCACTACATAATCCCCCCGTCGAACCTTAACACCTACGACGAGAGGAAAAACGTCCGTTTTCGCACACACGAAAAAAAAAGACGGTTGAACTATTTTCCGCTCCGAAAGCACGACGGTTGTATTTTATTGACGATTTTCTTCCTAGAGGAGCAGTTTGTTTGCACTGAACTCGAGCACAAAGCGCGGCGGAGCAAGATGCTGCAGCTGAGAGCACGATGAGTGCTCAACGTTGAAACTGCATCCACCTAGGCTAGCCGCACACACTTTTCAAGGTTTTCCCCGAAACTTTTCCTCTCGACTCCGGGAGCTGGAGGAATATGGGAGGAACAGACGAACAAGGAAACTCCACTTGAGGATACGTTTATAGATTGATGGATCCGGGATTTGCACTTGGAAAGAGTGAGCTACTTTTCCTCCTTCCGAACTTGTTACAAAGCCAATAGACTCTTACGAAGAGGACATAAATCACTTGAGCGGTGAACTTTTCTCATCCAGGTCCCAGGGGATTACTTCATCACATTGTTCACGGATGGGTTTCATCAAACTACACTGGGGGGTTTTTTTTTAGCACAAGCCAAAAGAGCTTTACAACGCTGCACTGCCGTTACGGTTGGTGGAAGAGATTGATTTAGAATGTCCGTGTAGGTACGTGTACTCGCAACCGAATGATGGATGGAATCAGCTCGATGGGCTTCGATGGCCCCCGAGAGATAGGGATCTGTTGCCGTCGTCGTCGTGTCGCTTCGCTTCGTGGCCTTCGGTTCTCCGGGATAAACGCGGCCAAGTGGGCCCATCAATGTGTTCCCAAAGTTGCCACATCATTCGGGAAACTTCCTTACCACTATCGAATGGCCCCTCGTTCGCATCCTGCAGCGCTGGAGCAAGAACCGGAGAGTCGAAGGATAATACGTGCTGACTGGTTTACTGTTTCCCGATCTTCGTCGTCACGCGGTAGGTGAGATTTGTAAGAGAGGAAATGGCAGAGAGATCGGAAAACGGGATTTGGGGGGCGTTGAGAGAGAGAGCACGCTAGGGTGGAAGTGGTACGGAACTGTTATGCTCAGAAAATGTGCGCATTTGCCGAAAGTTTTCGCCGCTCCAGCTGATTTGAATCTAACAGGCTGTTGCATGCGGTTCCGCAACAGCCTCGACCCCGACACACGAGTGAATGGCTGTTTGTTTGTGTGCTGTGGGTGGGTGGATGGTGGAAAATCAAGGAGTGACAGCAAGGGCGGTAGGAGGAAGTCACGCTGCGATGAGATGAGAATGGATAAGCGACAACAATTGGTTGGTGGTGTGTGGTTGATTGGCATGTAGGATCACACGAAGAGTACGTTACGTGCGCGGGTGCACTCGAATCATAAATGAGTGCACTCTTCAGTAGGGTAGCTGGATTTCTCTCAGTGCGTACCAATTGAACCTCATTGGAATTTTAAGGCATTGATGGCGGTAAGCTCCAACTCGGATTAACTTTTAATACCGTCCCTGTTTGTATGATCTGAAAAATGTTTGCTCAGAATTATGTTGATTAACTCTGATGTCGACATCAAACCAGCCGGACATTCTTGATCGGGATTTAATCCGAGGATAATACCGGTTTGAGCTTACCACCATGAGTGATTGGATTTCAGAGCGTCTTCCACCGACAAACCGGCATGACGCTTAATTCTGATTTTTGGCCGAAAATCGTAAGCGGCCGATTTAAATGTGCAGTGATCCAAACTGTCAAAACCATAGGATTTATTGATCTAGATAAAAAATAATTTGTTCAGAATAGATCAGACACGAACCAATTCATAACTTTTGCATGCGCGTTCATGGATTAGCTAACACGGAGCCAGATGTCACTAATGTGCTTTAGTCAGAATTTTTATTGTTTTTGCTATGGTTATTCATGTCGGTTTGTCGGTGCGTCTTTTTTATAGAGTACTAGAGCAAAACTGAACAAAAAATGTGTCATAATTAGTGTTTCCATTTCCCGGCCATTTCTGGTTACCCGGCAATTGGGAAACAGCTGATGATGCCCAGGAATCAAGAAAAAAATTATCCAGTGACAAGATGAAATTTTGGACAATTTATTACAATTTAAACTTCTGCCTGTCAGTTGACTCATGAAGCATAAAACCAACAATCAATACGAAACTAACGATTTTAATTGGCTCACTACTTGACTAGCCTGTTGGTCCCAAGCAAACGATTAACGTATCCCATTCTAGTCAAAATTCTAGCACTACACAATGTTTGTTTTGATTCGCTATGAAAGTTTGACAGATAAAATGAGGGGTTAGTGGATTTTCCTATGGTTCGAGGGGTGAATCGATTAGCTTGGGACCGAAGAGAGTACCAGAGCTGAGCCAAAAAGTTGAGCACATTTCTTCCGGACCTACTAGTCTTAGAGTTACCTCTATGATAAAACATATTCCTCGATGAACATTTCAAATGGTCCTATCCGCTTTGATCGATTCTCTTCATTGACTTTCTCTTTTCATAACCACTGCTATGCAAACAGATTTTGCGCTAATTCTACCACATAAATAGTTTGATAAAGGAGGTTCTTATCTAGCGTCCAAAACGTCAAATACAACAGGGAAAAGTTTTGCAGCTGAGTTATTGACGAAAGAGAAAGTTGATGAAGAGATTAGATCAATGCAGATAGGGCCTTTTGAAATGTTTATCTAGATCTCGCGCGTAACATTTGAAAATGGCCTATCCTCTTTGATCGATTCTCTTCATCGACTTTCTCTTTGGTTTCGACAGAAGATGATGTTAGCTTGCGCCTGAATCAACTCACTGAATGGAAAATTCATTTGCAGTCGGGTAATTCGCGAAAGAGAAAATCGATGGAGAGAATCGATCAACAATGTGTAACCCTCGTCTAGGGTGACAATTAATAACCCACCCTTTTAACGTGTTTGCGATGAGCGTGTGCCTTGTTTGTTATAATTTGTTTTTATTTTGGTCACACACTCGGCAACATTCTCACCACTGCTTTATTTGTAAATATTTTAATTTGTTGTTTTCTTAGTAGATTTCATACGTGTAGACATGTTTTTAGGATTAGAATGTAGTGTAAAAATTATCGTTTTAAATTGCCTCGCGGCTAGAATAAAATTAGGTCCCGTTTCTCCTCCCGCTGCAAAAGAAGGTGTAAAACATATTAAGCAGCATGACAGTCGAGCGCGGTTGCAGGAGAACGATGGCGGTTTTGTGATTGTTAGTTATTGTCCATGATTATGGGCAAATGGTATGAAAGTTACGAACCACACAAATAGGTAGAAATGAATAGTTGTCAATTATTGGTTATTGTTATTATTATCGTAAAAAAGTGAAACGTTTTTTTCTTTGCTTTATGCTGACAACGAGTTAAATTCCAGCTGAAACTTAACAGATGCGTAAGCAGGGTTGCTTCCACTCACTTGCTATAAAAACATATTTTTCGGAATTATGCAATCATTAGATGATATAAAGATATGCTGTACTTGTCAGTAACGAGAAGAGGGTTTAAAGTATGTGTTTGACTCATAAAACATGTCAATTTTGCCTTCAGAGCGTGACAATAAGCGATCTTATGATTCGTGAGCGTTCACTCAGAGTGAGCACTCACGAGTCGTAAAATTGCTGATTGTGACGCACTGAAAGCAATATTGACAGATTTTATGTGTCAAACACATACTTCACGTCCTCACCTTGTAACTTACAAGTACTAATTATCACTATACCATCTCATGATTTCATAATTCTGAAAAACATTTTTTTATAGCAAGTGAGTGGAAGTAACCCTGTGCGTAAGTAATAGCGAATTCGTTTATTATCGGGGTTGGAACCAGTTCCAACCCAGTGCGAAACCGAACTTTTTGTCAGTGTGAACCTCAACCTGAGCTAGGTTTTAAAAACAAACGATCAAACTGACGTTTGTCAGAAAACAAGCAGACCCAATCTTGATACCCGATCCAGATTGGAACTGAATAATAAACGGATTCGCTATAAGTTTGTTTTGAAAATGAAAACTATGGCAATGGTGCCATTCACAATGATGGTGGAACCTTCCTCGATCATTAATTTGCTATCTCAGAAATATCTTCCACCTTTCCTAAGCCCTTTAGTGATGCATTTATGGGCATTGGTATGGTGCATTAGTAAAATGCATGCCCGTTCCGCACGGCATTGGCACCTGGCCACAGCGGGGGGAGTTAAGTTGTGAAGCTCGGCAACTTGGCACAGTACTCGCTGACTATTTGAATGTCACTGGCCAATCTGACTCTGTTGTTATCATTCTCTGGAAGGGGTCGGTCGATTCCAAGCATTGTTAAATCATACAGAGGATCAGTATTTGGTGGTTTGATGTTCTGACAACATCTAAAATGGAAATATATTCTTTATCAATACGTACCGTTTGGGATTGTAGTCCTTCAACCTTTCATTTTCATTTTCTTCAACATTAGATCCTGCTACGCCTTCCGTGGTATCGTGATGTAGGTACCGGATCTTTCTTCTTTTTGAATCCTTGAATTTTCAGCAGCTTCCGAATAACTGTAGTTCACTCAATGGTGGTGGAAGCTGCCAATTCCTTATAATTGATTGCTTCCAACAGGCAAAATAAACAATATTTCGGTTCCTCGTTCACAAGTAACGTTACTTTCACTAGGTATAGATCCGAGTTTCTATCCTCTACTTGATCCACCATGATAAGTTTTTCGGTTTAGAGTTGGAAAACCACCGGCTTGCTGGGATTATGATACAAATTGCCGTGAAAGTTTGTAGAGCAATACAAAAACAACATCGAGTACCGTGTTATGATTATTTGTTTCGGTGACATTAGGTCACACACACAGTCACTGTTTATGAGCAGTCTCACTAACACTTGTGCTTCAAAGTTCCACCTTTGATTGACAGAGGCGCTGTTATCAGAGACGTTTGACATTTGTATGGGGTAAGGGAATAGTTGCCAGTCTTCTTGATTTGTAGTCTTCGATTAAAGGGTGGAACGGTGAAAAATTGGTCAATCATGATTAAGTGCACACTGATTATGTTAATGTATAAATGGTCAAACTTTATTTCTTTTTGAAGTTAAATGGCTACAGGGAAATTATTTAATTAGGTTTCCGATTTTCCAAATGCGAACTGTCGGGTTTTACATTTCACACCTTCCATCAGATTTTTTACCACTGTTGTATCAACCTTATTTGATGCTGAACGTCAATTTGCTTTGAACTGTTTCTCATTTCCAACTGTTTTCTGAGTTTTCTTGAGGTTCCGCTTAACGATTGCCCAATATTTTTCAATTGGATGCAGCTCCGGCGAGTTTGGAGGGTTTTTGTCCTTTTCCAGTATAGTGACAGAAAGCGAGGTCTGGCCAAAACAGCACGGAACAACTGTGCTTCTTCAAAAAAGGCAGCAATCGTTTTTGCAAACATTTATTTATATGAATAACTTGGTTGACAATGCCAGTTGTCATGAAAATTTCGCTTTTCAGCCCATAGATGCTTTGAGTTGCTTTGGGGACTTTGACAGCTTTTACTGCTTAAATTTATATTGAACCTTGCCTTTCCCGGTAGCCGGGTAAACTCTTGACCTGGGAGCTGCTTGAAATCTACCTTCACGTATATTTCATCGTTCATTAAAACGTAATCAAATTTCTGACGCA